GGTTCAGTCTATGTTGCACTTTCATAAACCCTCTAATGGTTTATTATTCTACGCTTTTTTTTACAGTGCAGATAATCAATCTGGTTTTCGTCCTGGATATAGATTACAGACGCGTGTGTTATTACTTATCGAGCAGATTTCATCATACATGGCAAATAGCTCTCCGGTTTCGACTGTCTTCGTAGATTTTAAGTCCGCAATTGACCAATTATGGTTTGAAAGATGTTTGGGTAAGCTCATCAGACTGGGAATCTCACATGCGTATGTGAATTGAATTCGTGCCTGGCTAACGGACCGTAAAGCAACCATCGAAGTACAGAGTAAAAGATCGAGATGGATTGAAATTAATCGTGGTGGTCCACAAGGTTTGAGTCTTACACCCTCGTTATTCATTACGTATCATAGTGATATAACTGATTATATCTCTGGAGCAATGTCGTTCTTTTTTGCAGATGATCTGGCAGCAGTGCTACCCGGGCAAATAGCATTTCGTTTTACTGATCAGTGCATTGATCTTGAGCGTCGATTACAATCGTTCCTAGATCAACTTGAATTCTACTCGATATTATCTGTACAACCGATAAACTATGCGAAAACGCAAGCAATGTTCTGGACAAGAGCGATTGTATATCCAAACATGATGCCTCAAGTTCATTGCGGAGATCACAAGATTGAGTGGATCTAGTCCTTCAAGTACTTAGGTTATTGGCTAACGACGAAGCTAGGCTGGGGAAATATTCTAATAAAGATCCGAATTACTGTCCGTCAGAAAGCAGCACTGGTTAATTCGTTCAAAATTAGTGGTGCATCATCCACCCATTTAGGACGAGCACTTTTCTCCACATTCGTGCGGCCACATTTCACGTGGCTATTTGAAATTTTCCCGTTACTAACCGATTCGCAGCGTGCTGGTCTTAACCATCTATACTTCACACTTTTAAAACGGATTTATTATTGTCAATGCTGACAGGATCTACTATTTTCATCATTATATAGAGAGAAATCACTAGATGACCATTGCTATGTTTATTGAGAAAATTATCTAAAAGCACTCGCCAAGTTCACGGATGGATATCTTATACTGGAGCAATCACAACTTAATACACATAGAACTATCTAGCACCAAGGTGCAAAATCGATTCGTTGTCTATATAGATCGAAAAGATTTGTATCACATGTGGATATCTTTGGACAAGCGATTAAATGGGTGAAAACTCATGGGACGGCTGACTCAATTATTGATTGCAACGAGGATGAGTTATCTTGCTTTGGTTTATCCCCAGAGAGATTTTCTTTTAAACAATAGATCCAGTTAAGGTCATCATGACAAAACAGATTGAATGAATCACAGAGAGAAAGAAGAGACGACGGTCAGGGTGGGTAGAAGAAAATTGAAGAAATGGAAGTGGAGAAGAGATGTGTGAGAACAGAATCGGAAAAGAGCAACACTCTAAAGCAAAAATAAAATAATACGAACGAAACATTTTATGCACATATATATGCATACTCATCTGCGATACATGATATCTACTTATATACTGGTTTATTAAACTAAACAGGCGTTTAACTCTGTCTTCGAATAAGTGAATACGCAATATTGATTAATCGTTTGATACATTATCCGGAATGAATCGATACTTCCGTTTAACCTGCATATTCTCCACGTTCATCATCTCTAGCATAATAGACAGTACAATTTACAACCAGGGTAGCCGTACGCCTCCTGATAAAGCTCTTCATACAGCACTTGAAGCACAACAGCAATTTGACAGTCAAAGCACAGGAAAGGAAGATCAACAACAAACGAACAACAAAAACCAAGGTCTAATAAACACGTTAGTCAACCATAACAATAAGATAAAAACATCGAAAATCATGTGTTCGGAGAACCTCGTTCACACTGTTCGTGGCGGGAATTCTTGTTGTCATTTATTAGTTGCTGCGCGGTCGGTGGTCTACTATGGAAACTATGGAGGAAATTCGTGAGGCCAAGATTTAAAAAATGCGTTAGGGAAATAAATAATGGCAAGCAGACTAGTATTCCATCAATTAGTGAACATATATCTACTGGCAAGGGTAGTGACAAAAAAGCAATGAAGGAGCTTAAACTTCACTTGGAGAAACAACTGGTCGAAAATAACATTCGACACAATGAACTGATCCAAATGTTCAAAGGTGGTAGTAATAATCCAGTTCAAGCAGAAGTTCCGTAAGTCAAGGTTGAACACGTATCAACGCTGAGTCGCTGCATGCTTTTATTATTATTTTATTATTATATTATTACTATTATGTCTTTTTGTTTTATTGTCTGTCTCTATTTCTTTGGTGCAATTACAACTGAGCCTTGTTCTGCCTCGCTACCTTCCATGTCAAACAGATAGTCAATATTTGCTGATAGCCTTTTATTTCTCTCTTTTCTTCCTTTTTACACTTCTCTTACTTTTCGGTTTTCGTTTCGTTGATAGACGCTTCGCTTATTATAATGCTATGAAGGAATGTCCTATTGGGTTGTTTTTTTTATCATTCTTGTTCATTTCTATTTTATTTCATTCTATTTTATCTTATCTTTATTTTTATTGTTTTTTTTTCTTCGTCTTTCTTTCTCTGATTTCTGCTTTTGTTTTGTTTTCCCCTCTCTTATTTTATAACAAGAACATTATTTTGTAAGCTCATTTGTCCCATTAGGACCAGAGATGGGCAAGTCAGGCTTTTTTTACCCAAGTCAAGTCCCAACGATAGCCGAGTCAGTCACGAGTGACGTCACAAGTCACAGTCTTTAGCAAGTCAAGTCTTTTGACAAGTCATGTCATGAGATTGATATTTCTTTAAAATTTTATAATTTAATCCTGTATCGATGTATTCAACAAAAATTCGAAATTAGTCCTTGATTACATTTTAACATTGTTAACATTTCTAATGTCTTTCTTGACATTTTCGATATATGTTGTCGCAATATGAAGCTACTTTGAGGGGAAAACCTTTCTGTAGATGATGATGTTGTGAAATGTTTCATTTCTTATTGCATATTGACTATGCATATTCGCTATCATGAGAAATGAGCAATTTTCCGTCGCGTATGGATGCCACAACCACTCAGTCAGGCAAACGTTAAAAATAACGACGTTTTTACGCGTTAAAAACGCACATTTTGGTGCCTTTAAACGACTTGTATGGTAGAAACGCGTTTTAACGACCTGAAATGTGCTTTTATCGCATTAAAACGGCGTTATTTTCAAGGATTACCTGACTTGACAGTAGCACTTTCTAGTAGAGCAAAAAAAAATAACGTTAGGGTGTATGAATTTAACATCCATCATAGCTGCAGAAATATTTCTGACTTGACTCATGTTTTTTCGGCAATTCACAAGTCAAGTTAAGTTAAAAAATTTTCGATCCAAGTCAAATCATGCCCAGTCACAAGTCCCTGATAAAAAAGACTATCCAACTCAAAGTCAAGTCTTCGAGTCATTGAAAAGTTGCTCAAGTCAAGTCAAAGCCAGTCAAAAATGACTTGACTTGACTTGGACTTAAGTCATTTTTGACTTGACTCGCCCATCTCTGATTAGGACCGTTATGGTCATAGGGTTAACTCATGGATAATAAAAAAATATGTAAGCTCTGTGATTGAGCAGTAGTTGTTTTTAACTAGAGAGTCTTCTATTGACGGTAGAAAGAACTGATAACATAATAAAATAAATAGCGATGGTGCTGCTTTTCCTCTATTGCACGCCTACTGATTTTATCTGCGTACAATCAAGTAAAAATTCTAGTTAGCGCTTCCTATTTTATTTCCACTATGAACATTACAAGTCATGTTTAACGCATATGTGTAAAACCTAATTTATTTTTCAAAAATTTGCATATAAACTAGAGATACGACAGTTCAGTTTTAGTTCCGATCAAAAGAGAACTTTCGAGATAAAAAAACTTCTAATTAAATTTAACAGAAAATAACAGGAAAATATCTTCAATATGTTTATTTTAACGTCGCTTTCAAAATCAGAAAGTTTCATTATTTCAACGATGTTTTTATTGGCATCAACTAGATAAATCAGCCTTGAAATTATGGATGTTTTGAAGCATCGTGCTAGTATCTTGTCAAAATGTGAAGAATGACAAAATTATAATATGCGCCGCTGTTCAATATAGTAGATAGTGAGTACGTTAAAAGCTATTTTGCACCCTCATCCTTAAAACACACAAGAGGATCATACTGTCAATCTCGTTGACGATGATCACATGTTTTCAGATAACACATTGATCGGCTTTTCCAGCACTCAAAATAGAAACAACATGGTTTAGTCACCATTGACACTGAGACATAAATCGAAACATCTTCCATAATAGTGACGCAATCGTGTATAGATAAAGCGTATCTATCTATATAAGTTTCGGATATCGCAACTAGTTAGAATTAAATAAGACCATAACAAAGACCTTCAAAACAATCAGAACGTAAAATTCAATTTTATGCATAGCTAGTATTTACTTAAGTAGTCCTACTAATCATAAGTTAGGAATTATGAATTGATCTTATCGTCGAAAAACAGCAGGTTTCACAGCCAATCTACACCTTGCTGGTCTATGTCTATCTGATGAAAATAAAACGTCAACTATACTGACCTTGAGTGACTTTTTTACTAGGTTATTTGTCCTTCTCTCCCATCGGTGCGTTATTTCAAAATCGTATATTCTCCAGGTACATTTATAAATTACTTGGGCTATGAAGTTCAGGTTCAATAGAAATGGAAAGAACCAAGGAGTTTACTATGACGTCAACCAGTAAGGCCACTGTTTGTATGTTTTATTACGAAGTATATGAACACCAATGACTCTAATGTTAAAGTAGCATCTTTTTGAAATCTCTAAATTTGACATTCATATAGAACTTTTTTCCAAACAGTATCGATGCCGTTCTACATTTTTCAGGTTCACTAGAATCTCTACAAACAAGTTTCGGTGAGTGATTATTACGACGCAAAACTATTAAAGCAGACACAATGAACATTATCATAGTAGGCGGAAGGCTTGCATGTCTACTTACGGGACTAGCACTGAAAGGAATTGGTCACAACGTTCATATTCTAGGAAGTAACCCTGAACCTCTTTTAGAGGACCAAGATGCAGGTATCATAGCAGGTACAGAAATTCGAGACTACATGCAAATATTCGACAAGTCCAGATGTGACTTTGTAATTGAGTCAGTATTTCGACACTATCTCGATATTCAAGGTAGAGAAATATATCGAGAAGACTGTCCTCAGTACATGACTAGTTAAGATTTAGTGTATTTTATCCTAGGATCAAATTTTGATGGGGTCAAGAGTGAATATTGTAAAGTGCCAGATCAGGCAGGTGGCAACACAATTTATGATTATGATGCTAACGTGATCGATATGAAGGTCGAAAATGACGAAGTAACACTAGTTTACGAACAAGAAAATAAGAAAAAAGTCAATTCGGGATGATGTCTTGATCGCAGTAGATGGAGCATCTAGTAGCATTCGAACACTTTTATATCCAGATTTAGAACGAAAGTATGCTGGCTATGTAGCTTGACGTGGAACCATTCTTGAATCAGAGGCCTCATCGTCACTCGCATCAACTCTCGTCGAACGGTTCACATTATTTCATGTACCTGGCACACAAATTCTTGCCTACGTTATTCCCGGTAAGCATGGTAAATTAAAACAAGGATATCGACTGATAAATTGGGTTTGGTATTTCAATTGTGAAAATTTATCAAAAGTTCTCACTGATTGCGATGGTAAAACGCATCGTTGGCCATTGCCTCAGAGAAAGGTTAACGTCGACATCTGGGAAAATCAAAAACAATATGCAAGTAACAATCTTCCACCTCAGTTTGTAGAACTAATCAATAAAACTCAGCCACCATTCGTACAAGCTATTACTGATGTCCCTGCAACCCAAGCAATTCATTTCGATGGTCGAGTCGTGCTTGTCGGCGACGCATTGGCTGGATTTCGACCACATACTGTTGCTAGCACCAGTCAAGCTGCGTTTCATGCTTCACAATTGTGTGAAAGCATGAGGAGCTGGGATGAATGGGTGAAAAAGCAAAGTTTGTATGAAGATACTGTGATGGAGTTTGCTCGGCTTGGCAATAAGGTTGAGCAACAGCTTGGTAATGTTTCTCAATTCGGGCATTACGAAATCGGTGGTAAGATGAGAATGGCTCCTCCGTCGATAAGATAATCTATTAGATGCTATGATATGGCAACTGTATGGCAAAGTGGTGGAACAGCAGCTATAGGTGATATCCATCCCTTCAAATGTATTTGGACCTAATTCCATCCTGAATTCTGTTCTGGATTTTTTACTATGATATATCAAAAGATGAATGAATTTAACTTGTAACCGCCTGATTTAATTATTCATGCTGAACGATTGTTAACAGACAGAAACTGATATTACATGTATGGCTACAAGGTACCCGTGGGATGGGGTGCTCGTGAATGTAGATAGGTTTCTAAAAGGATGAGTATTCATGTCAATGTCGATGTGAGAGAAGAAAATAAACACACCTATCAACGCCAATGCATATCGTTTTCTTTTCCGATTGTTACATGATTTGTGGAAATGTACATAAGATAAGAAATTGTTCAATGCATAAAGGTCACAAATCGATGTGTGGCCACCTTTGTGCTGCACTCTCCCCAGTGCATTATGCCTTTACTACTATGAACTTACTGAATTTCTTCATTTTAGAAGCCTCCTTTTCAGTGTTTATTGAAAAAAAGCATTTGTAAATCCACATGATAGGTAATTTTAATCATTTTGACTCGTGGGATCACATTTATAGAGCTTCAAAAAAGAAAAGAAAAGATCCGAAAGTAGTGTTAGGCCAAAGGAATTCGTGCTTCACCCTTGTTTTTTTGATATACATTCGACAGTTCGGCGTATATCTTGGACACATCATTTATGCGGCGGCCTAGTGATTCGCGAGCTTCATTACGATGATCGAGACTTTCTATCATATATAAAATGTTGTGGCTGTGCCAAAATGAATTTACGCGATTGTAGAGTGGACGACTCTTCTCACTATCTCCAAAGAGCGCATTAAAAATTTTAATATCGTGTGGAATATTGAAGACATCACGGCTATCCTCGTGACTGAATAGGTAATAAAAATTATCATAACCACACCAAGTTATGGCTGAAAGGCAAAGAGAACAAGGTTCATGTGTCGTGAGAAAAATACAGTCTTTTGGATTCGGCAGATTCAAGCGATCATTCATTGTGTAGAGTTGTTTAATTGCGTAGACTTCGCCATGCCAAAGTGGATTTTCTATTTCATTATTAGTTTCCGCGACAAGAGTGGACAGATCAGACTTCTTGAGGATGGCCGCACCAAAGATTTTGTTACCTTGTGCGACACCAGCTCGAGTCTTCGGTAAAATATCTTGTTCAATAACATCAAAAAGACGATTGAGTAACTGAACATTGTCCATCTTAAATTTATTCGGAGTATTACATGGTAGATAGAAGCAATAGAGTTAAGTACATAACAAGACCCCCTTACGAAAACGATCAAAAAACCGCTTAATGCGCTACACGTTATTGCTGTTAGTCAAGTTCAAAGCATATACTGTAGTCGGCGTTCTCAACTGTAATATCGCGGCTGTTTCATTCAAGATCTATCTTATGGTCGCCGTTAGAGGCAGCTCTAATTATTATCAACTTCCTATCACAAGCATCGGGACAGCAAATATTGAAATGAAACTATTAGCTTTAGCTATATCGAACAGCTTAACACAGAACGATTGATGAAACGAAAATGGAGTTTTGTAGTCTGCAAAATCATGTAAAAAACTGTTATTATATACTCGTTGAAAGTTTCTACTTTGCAAATTGGCTAGTGCTCTCATGTCTTAACACCTAGATAAGAAATTCTAAACGAAAATAGATAAGCATACTTACTCATATTGTCTTTTACTTTTTGATATACATCATAAACTAGCACATGTTATACATTTGCATTTTATTCTTCATGAAACAATAAAATGACACTACCGTTAGAACAAGAAAAGCCACAATATTATGATGCAAAAGATATTATTGTGACTTTTGGAGCTGTACCACAAGAGATCACTCTTCTTGTTAATACTTTAGTCGTGAGCGAAAAGAAGCAGCTATGGGGTATTCCATGCCAGAAAGGCAAATTGGATGGCAATCTCTTTTTACTGCTATCACTGGCATTGGTAAAACTTTTACTGGTATGGCAAGTACTTTATTCATCAAAGAGCTTCAACCTCGTCTAGTATTAATGACCGCTACCGGCGCGCGTATTAATCAACTAGTACGCACTGACGATATCATTGTTGTTACTCATATTTATGAGCATGATTATGACAGTCTTATCACAAACGGCGATATGGTTTATCAATAAATGAACAGCCCAGATACCGAAAAAGAAGTAATTAACGCATTTAACCCAACCGCGAGAATGTTAGCACTTGCTCAAAGAGCAATTCAACGTTATCAAACACAAACAATAATCTTCAATGAAAATATCTCGTATCAAAATAGTGTTCGTTTCGGTGTTATTGCATCGTCGAATTTATTTGGTGTACCTCAAACATGCATTGATTTACGTCACAACCATTTCATAGTTGATATTCTGGAAATGGAATAGGCGCCGCTTGGTCACGTTTGTCCAACCTTAGGTGTATCCTATTTAATCGTACGCTCAGGAAGTAATATTACACAAGAAGCTCCCAATGATGATTACCTACTTTTTAGCCGAATTGCCACTTCGGAAACAGCAAAATTTTTACTTCACCTCATTCACTGTCTTGATACAACAGTAGAAACATATATTTGTAATAATGTAGAGTGGAGCGTGATCCAACAGATACACTAGAAGCCCATAAGCATAGACGGACTAGATTGCAATCACAATAAATACTAAAGACTTAATTTTTCAAAATAAATAATATGCAACTATGTTAAGTAAATTAATATCAGTAAGCTTAGTTTGATTGTCTGAGAGGAAAAAAATTATAATCAGTAAAACGAATTATCACTATAAATCATGCAACATGGTAAGATAAAAGACTAATGAATAAGTGTGTCTATCTGCATGTAACATTGTTGATGCTAATGATGCTTCAAATGTGCTCAACATATGATAAAGATATTTCACCTCATTAGCGAGGATTTACAGATGATACTCATTTCAAATCCAATTGAAAAGAAAAGGAATCAAAATATATATTATGATTTATTCTGTTACTTCAAAAAGTAATGACGAATAAGAGATCGGTAATATCATAGATGATTGACCTAATTATATGTTTATGAAGCGTACTTATTTGGCGGTTGAATCTGTTGTTTTAATGGAATTGAATTATTTTGAGTATGAGTTATGAATAAAATAATAATAATAAGCCCGTGTACTGGTATAGCAATAATTAAATTAATTCTGAGTTCATTTCACTATGACTTTGCATTTTCTACGGAGCACCGATTTAATGAAAATCAAACATCAGTATACGATCGTCAGTGTGATTAAACGTTATATAATACCATTTTTTAAAATCTTCTTGCTTACTTATGAAACACTTTAGCTTAACTACAATCCTACGGGACTATTATTTTCGAGTAAAAGTTATGATGACGATTAGGGTGTGGATGAACACCTTTTAGATTCTCAATGAAAACTTAATACTCCCAAACGTTGAAACTAATCACAAAAGCTATTCCATATTGCCTATACTGCATATCCACACGCATGCTCAAATCCTCAAGAAATAACATGTTATAGATGAACATATATATATATATGCAACTGTTCTCATGAAGTTGTCGTCTATGTGCATTTTGGGTTAGTCTTTTATTGTTGCCAATTCGTCAATTAATAATCATTAGTATTTTTAGCATTCTGAACATTTATTTTTCTTAAATAATTTGCTTGCTAATTAACTAATCTTTTGTGTTATACTGGTTGAATCTCTCGCAATTTATTAGAAGACTTCGTCATTAAGTTCTTCTTCCATTTTAATAATGTTTTCGTCTGTTTCCATTGTCACTACTTTGCTAATTTTATTGGCTACTATTACCACGGTTAAGGCATTATATTTTATCTCATCTAATGATTTTTTTCTTTGAATTTATCCATATTTCTTCCTTACTCGTGCGACTCTCATTGCGAAATCAACGGCATAATGTGAGATTTTATCATCTCCGATAAGGCATGCTCTCGCCTCAGAATACTGCTTGCATGTTTGTAGCTTTTTTTACTATGAGCAGCATAACAGCCGAAACGCAGGTAACGTACCGACACATTTTTTAGAAAGAAGTGCCTGTTCCGAGCGAATTTTATATCAATCATACTATTTATTTATTAAAAGCAGTTGATCATGATTCAAAAGTTTATTTTGCTTGAAACTCACGTTTGAGTTGGAAATTTGAATATCAGACTCAAAAAAGACTAATCGAAGATTTTCGATCCAGATAATTCTGAGGACACCATTGTGTAGAGCACATCAAGTTACCCATGTATTCATTCGAAAAAAGTAAATCATAGTAGAATATGAAGTTTTACGAGGTGCATATTGATTATATTGAGTGACAACAGGAAAAATGTCTGTGCGTTAGCCAATTTTCAGAGTCAAAGAAAAGAGATGAAGAGAAACCAATACGCTCATTGGATAGTCCGTAAAAATTTGACGATAGGCCATTGATCAAAATTAAGCAAACTGTTTTAATCTCATGATGATATAAACTAAGATAGGGATGCAACAAACCCAAAGCTTTGGATTTGTTTTGGAAGATTTGGATTTGGGTTTGAATTTTGGATTTGGTTTGGATTTGGATTTGGATTTGATATTTGATATTTGGATTTGGTTTGGATTTGACTTTTGATGTTTTGGATTTGGTTTTGGATTTGGTAGCAGATGTTTGGATTTGGTTTGGATTTGTTATATGATATTTGGATTTGGGTTTGGATTTGGATACTAGATATTTGGATTTGGTTTGGATTTGGATATCAGATATTTGAATTTGGTTCGGATTTGGTCTTGGATGGCCCAAATCGTTTGGATTTGGTCTCCAATGACTCATATCGTTTGATTTTGGTTTAGGTTTGGTCTTAGATGGCCCAAATCGTTCGGATTTGGTGTTATATAGCATATCAATTATTTTTTAAGCAGTTTGTTTAAGTCAGTAGTGATATATATGATGCATTAAGTTCAATCAGTTGCATGTTTTATTTTACTTTTTAAAACAAATATCTCCCACTTGAAGCAAAAACGCTGTCATCAAAAATAAAAAGAAAATAAAAAGTGATAAAAACAGCTGCCAATACAACAATATAAAAGGAAAAACATCGTATAGAAAATGATATAATAATAAACGAATTTATGTTTTTTGATTTTTTTGAACATAAACTGACATTCTTGATTACTTCTCGGTCATCAATTTGTCTTTTAAAAAGACGGATTGTGAAAGAGTGTTGGCATTTATATTAGCCCGCTCTTTTCGACCATAATAAGCGCTTTTACTGAAAGCGCTTTCCGACGGAACGCTAGTGGCAGGAGTTGCAAGATATTTTCTTGCTAATATTGATAACATTGGTAGTGAATGTTGATTACACTTCCAAAAGAGGGCAGCACTTTTATCTTCCCGATCATCGGACATAAAATTGCTAGCTAATTGACGATACTTTTTTGCTTCATTTGTAAAGCAAGATGTTGATGTTGATGTTGATGTTTTGTTAGTTGAGTGTGATACACAATCAGTATCACCATCAATAGAGTCTAGAAACATATCTAATGCTGAACGTTTTTGTTTTCCAGACATCATCGTGGATTGTTGATCAGAGAATAAATGGCGTGTTGAATATCTCAATTGACGTTCAGTTGATGCTATTTCTTTTTGAGTTAATACAGAAAGACCATGTGGTTCAAAGTAGGCGTGAATCTAATAAAATAAATAAATATTACAATGTTTATTGAATAATGTTTTAATATGTTTTCAAAGCAGTCAAGAAATCCTACACTTTCGATCAATATAAACGAGAGATATTGAGTGTAATCTGTAACGAATTTTTGCTAGTTAAATATTATGAGTGATGGCTTACTATTAAATTTGTAAAACCTTCACCATATTTATCAGTTGTGTAATATATTAATTTTTCATGAATAAGTTGTTTGATTCTTTGAAACATTTCACCATCGTTTGATCGAACATTTTCAAGGAAAGTTTGTTGAATTCTACGTATAATAAATAATGCCAAACCGGCTGTTGGATATTGAGATCCACTTATAAGTTTTATTGCACGTTTAAATGGTCCTAAAGCTTTTAATAGCAATTCAACCATATCCCAACTAGTATTTGACATTTCTAATTTATGTAAACTATTTGTCTGGTTCTTTGACAGATTCATTTTACGTATATTTTTAAACAAACTATCAATAATTGGACGAAATATTTGAAATGCTTCCAGCATATAATGCGTGGAACTCCATCGGGATTTTACATCAAGTTGAAGAGAGCGTTTAATTTTTTTCTCATGTGCATTGTTGTATTCATTAATTAAATCTTTCAGATATAATTGAAACACATTGGAATATTTTATTGTTGAAACTAATCGACGACATTCTAATAACAATAAAAATGAATTAGATAAGCGTTATTCGAAAAAACAAAAAAAACACCATTCATTCCCAGTGAAAAAAATAGGAGTGAGAGCAGTGATATGATTTTATTGCTCAAATGCGGATGTCGAAATCGGTTAGTAGTTTCATCTGACTTTACCAAAAAGCTAATTGTCCTTATGCGATTTACAGATATGAAATGTTTTAGAATAAATTTCTGAGAAACATTTATTTTATACGCTCGATTGATTAATACGATGAAGAGAAAAAAGAAATACTTTTCTGTTTAAAGCATGTATTATAATTCTAAAATTTAGCTCAGTTCTCCATGAACGTCGTTATTTTTTTCAATCGCCTTAGAAAAAAGTTACGATTTAATCTGGTCTCGTCTGGTTTTGCCTTGATCATGAATTATATTACTCACTTCGTAAAACGTATGCGATTTGTTGTTCAGCCGTAGTTGATGCATCGTCTTGAACATCATTTACACTTGTTTTTAAACCAACTTGAAAATTATCTTCAATTTCATCCTTTTCAAAATCACTACCATCGGATTCATATTCATCACCACCTTTTTCACCACCTTCATCACCAAATTTTTCACCACCTTCATTGTCAATTGTCATCTTATCTTCATCATCCCATCCTACTTCGTCTTCGCTTGTCTGAAATGGAAAGAGGAAAAAAATAACGAAACAGCTTTAAAGAAAAAAAAAGCTGGTTTTGTTTCAAACGAAACTTTACGCACTTCATCACCAAATACATCTTGTTCATCACTTTCTTGGTTATTTTGCTGACCTGATATATCACCATCAAGACTCATTTTTCTTACCGATTGAGTAAGACCTTCATCAAATTCATTTTCAGATATATTATTGTTAGATTTATCAGTTGTTCTATTAAGATCATTATCTTCTCCCTCTTGCCAAATACCTAATGCATTACAAATTGTCAGATGAAGTACGTGGGCTACACATGGAATGCGTTTAATATCACGTGATAAATGATTAAATAATCCCAACATATTAGGAGCATTGTCACAGGTTATGGTGGTGATTTTATCAAATATATTTAGATCAACCAGTTGTTTTTCAATTTCTTCCCCAATTAAATCAGAAAAATGTCGTTGATCAAAGGATGAAAATTGTAAAATAGTTGATTTTGATTGAAAATCTTCATCGAGAAAATGTCCTGTTAATACTAAATATGATTTTAATTTCTTATCTGACCAAAAGTCCAAGGTAATGGCGATGTCAGATACATTTGATAACGTATTTTCCAACAGCTTATGATGTAAATAATATAAACTGCGGAGTTTTTGTTGAACATTATTTCGATGAACGGGCTTATAACCTATAAAGAAAATTAATAAAAATGTTTAGTGAAGATTATATGATATCACTCTACAGTTCAAATTATTTCACTGTCTCTAACAAGTTTTCATAAAATTTTCTATATTTAAATAAAAATACAGACGAAGATTGCTGAGTAAAAAGCTAAACAATCTAACAAAGGAGCTTATCATCACCACAGTGAATAATTACTATTAGTTTAAATATCGAGGTACAAACAGAAAAATTTTCATATTACCGGGAATTGCATATTGAAGAAATTGTTTTAATCCAGTTTTGTTGAAGTCATTAAAACTTCTTCCATCTTTAATAATAGCTTCAACTGCTAAATTATCAAGTTTTTTCTTTTTTGTTTTCGCTAATTTGTGTTTTACTCGACCAACAAAAACACGACCATTGGAGTTTTTTTTCAAATTATGAATTTTATGAACATCTCGCAGATGTTTAAACAATGGCGATGTTGTCCAATTAATTAATGCTAATGTTTTATCGCATCCATTTTCTAAGCATTGAGCTCGATAAACACCGTTGATAGATATCCGCTTGAAATATTGCCATACTGGTGATCTCATAGGATTACCTTTTTTGTTAGTATTTCCTTGATGAATATCTGCATCCATGTTACCAAATTAAAAAAAATGTGTTGATGAAGACCTAAAAAAGTTTGAAAAGCGACAATACGATTATCATATTTTTGAATGTAGATAGTAACAAAGAAAATGAGACAGGGTACTCGTTTAGCAGGTGTTCCACCTCAACCTCACTACTATTGCACTGCCTTCCGTCAATGTGGAACAGCAGCTATAGGATTATCCAAGACAGCAATCAATCATAGAATATTTTACAATGAAAAAGATTAAAAACCAGACCTGATTGGTTGGATTGGATATCCACACAATGGTGTGATTTTAGTGGTGAACTTTCCTCGTTCTTATTTTTTGAGAAGATTTTTGGTTTATATTTTACGAATAAGAATGAGAAATAGTACCTAAATCTAATGCAAGTACAGTACACTATAATATACATACTCAAACTGCTAGCGACAATATATATATATATATAAAGTCAGATGGTCAATCAAAATGTCCGTTTGAATGTAAATAGAAAGAAAAGAAATTTGTATGACTACGTTTTTTATTGTTTTCTGTTCTTATAACAGTGAAATCCACTATTTGAAATAATAAATATCTGTTCTATTTCTTAAAAAATGCAAATGCGATCAGAGAAACTACGAAACTATCTTGAAAAATCTAATTAGGAAATATCACTGGAATTACTTGCACATAGTTGTATGATCTGTGAGCTGTAAGCGAGAGCGAAAATACCTTTTTTTCAGTGCACATTTAGATGTTCCTTAGAATTATCAAAATTCTAACTCATAGAGTTCGATTTATTATGGCCCACTTCTTATTAATAATACAATTGCTATTAATACATGTCAATTTTGAGGAATTGAAGATGTCCACAGACTTCAACTACTATAGAGGAGCAATTCTATTGTAATTTTATTGTAGTGAATGAGCGACTCAAATAAGGACGAGTATGTCTGCTAGTAAATTCCACATCATTTGTGCGATTTGTACAAATCAAAATTCAAATTCAAATATAAGTTCCAAATATAGGATGCAAATTCACATCTTAGACTCGAACCTGAGATACAAATCTAAAATCAAAATTCAAACCTAAGACCCAAATCTAAGCTACAAACCTAAACCCAAATCCCAAATCTAAAATCAAAATCCAAACCCAATTCTCAAATCTAAAATCAAAATCAAAATCCAATTCCCAAATCTCGAATACAAATCCAAACCTTAGACCCAAATCCAGGATACAAATCCAAACCCAAATCTCAAATCTCAAATCCAAATCCAAACCCAAATCTCAAATCTCAAATCCAAATCCAAACCCAAATCTCAAATCTCAAATCCAAATCCAAACCCAAATCCAATATCAGCGATCAAATCCAAATCCAATACCAAATCCAAAGGCTTTGGTCCCAAATCCAAACCTTTTCGAAGATTTGTTGCATCCCTACTTTTGTCCTATACCCAAAATGGGTTTATTACTTTTGTCCCATACCCAAAAAGGGTTTATTACAATTTCCTTTCAGACAAGCGCCTTATAAAACGCGTTAACAATCTTTCAGAAAAAAGAATCCAAAAACAATTGAGTAGACTATGATTTTTTTTTTCGTTTGTGTTTACAATGCGCATCACAACGTATTTTTTGTAATTTATCGATCCGATTAAAATTTTGGAACTTACTGCGTTATCCTAGGTTCGATCATGAGATATATTGGTTGATAGTCCAGGATGTTATCCATTCGGTCAGTCGTATGATATCAATATGAAGTAAGAAATGCTACTTAAATCGAACGAAACTTTATAGGAACCTGAAGATGATATAAAGTTAAGCGGAACAATTGTTATTAC